GTTCTGTGAATAGTTGCGCACGCACACTCTCTCTCTCTCTTTCCTCGTTTCTCCAAGACAACTTTACCGAGAGTTTGCTCCGAAATTGCCATAGATTTTTCAGGGGTTTTGGGCATTCAGAAGTGTTATCTGGAGGTGGTGGCTCATCCGCATTTTATTCAGGTTTAGCCTGGTGAAGGTATGAAAAGTTTGAGGAATTTTTGAATTAGGAGATTTTTGGCCATTATTTTGGTGACAGTTGCACGGTGAATTTCCGGAGCATTAAATTTTCATACATGTACATCATGCAATGTATAATTTGTTCATGTGGTTTAGGTTGCACATACATGTACATGTACTGGTATGTACATGTAGCTCATCGCTGCATGCACCGGGTGTAGGTTGTCTAGCTGAACAGCTATAGTTGGATAGAGGGAGTGGCATGCTTGAACTTATTTATCCAGTCTGGGTGAGTTGTAAACACATGAAGGTTATAAGAATTCTGACTCAATAATACATTGCATGTACATGTATATGCTTACATGTATGTACTGACAAGCTGTATTTTAGTAAGGTCGCTTAATCAACTTGCCTTTCTTTTGTTTTGTATCCAAAGGGGAATAAGACGTGGATTTGATTTGGATTGATTTGATTTGATTTGGACCTGGTTTTGAGCCTTATTTCAACGGATTTGAAGAGGATTTGGCTGGAGTTAGCAAGATTTGCACCTGGGTTTAATCGGGATCTTAACAGAACTTAAACACGAATAAAACTTGGACTGGAGCTCCACATCTTTGTAATTATTGTTGTCATTTATTTTGGGGTCTTTCAACTGTCTGCATAGTAAACTGGGTACACACCCAAAATCAGCTTGATAGCACACGCTCAAGCTACCCCTACAGGATGCACCACTAGGCGTGTCTTGACACATACACTAAATTTGACTTGTAAGAGCAAGGTTTGTCTAGGTTTACAAATCATCATCATCATGAATGTGGGCCACCATGAGTGGCTAGCTAACTGAATGATGACACCCCTCCCTCCATTGCTCCATGTTGCCTGCCAAAGACCAACAGTCAGTAATGTGTCTATGGAGCCCAGAGCTCATCAGGTGGGTCCATGTCAATCTGGGTAGTCCAGTGGATCTTGGCAATGTGTGGTTGAGTCGATAGCCATCTGTGGCCCATACGGACCGTAATTTAGTGTATGTGTCTCACGTGGCCTATCATTTGGTGGCACAGTCAGGCAATTTCTCCAGGAGGTCAGGGAGGCTAGTCTTAGCTGCTAGGGAGTCATTACTAATGAAGTCATTGCACCTGATGGCCAGGGAATGGCTCAAGCACTGCATGTGGAATGACTGCGGTTGGTTCTCAGCCTTCAAAAGTGTCCAGGCTGGAGAGCCACAGAGCAGGACAGACAGAACACAGGCCCTGTATACTCGCTGTTTGGTGTGAAGGCTAAGGCGACGGGATGGTCTATGCCAAACACAGTCGAGCTGACCCATAACACTCCCAGCCAGACCAATTCTCCTCAGTACACCAGTTTGGCAGTAACTAGATGAGTCAAAGTCAAAACCAAGATAACATTATTCATGGCTTCCACACCTTCACCATCTACAGTGAACGACGGGGATGGACCACCAGCACCAACATTCTGGACCTTAGTCTTTGACCATAAGAGGCAGAGCCTGGACCTCCTCATGGAACTGCTTCAGGACAGCTGAACATCGTCAGTGCAGACCATAGTGCATTCATGTACCTAAGGTGTCATCACCGACAGTGATGTTGTGGGTGTTCCGCATCTGCTTGAAAAGCCAGTCCATGGTGCAGCAAAATAGTGAAGGAGCACCAAAGCACCCTTGAGGTTGTGTGGAAAGGGGCACAGAATTTACCACCAAGTCTCACCCAAGCCCGAGTGCCATTAAGTAACCCCCCCATGTCGATCAACCTGGCCGGAATGACAGTTGCATATAACAGCTTCCATAAGGCGGCCTGGTCCACAGAACTGAAAGCCGCCTTGAAGTGAAGCCAGCATTTGACTTATTGAAATATTTAAGGCACAAATAAGAACAAAGATTTCACAAAAAAAATGACTTTTGACATTTTCAGTTAAAAATCCACGCTCATTTTTGTGTACAAAACACATCTCCAAACATCCCAACTTCAAATTGATTTTCTTTGCTTTGCAGAGTCCAATGGAATTCAAATTTATATCAAAATCAAACATCCTCTCCAAGATCACTTCAAAAATAAAACAGAAAAAAATATTTAAAAAAATATTTGAAAAATTTATTAGCCTCCCTATATTAGGCGTGTTTGTGTATTTTTCCTGATTTTTGAAGTGAGACTGTTTGTCAACGTTGTCTTTGGCACTTTATCTACGGTAGCAGTTCTGCAATATGGGCGATTCACAAGAATAAGCTTCCAAGAGTTTGCAATGTGTCAACCAATCACAATACGTGAAATCTGTCAAACCTTCCCAAACGTGCATTGGGTCAACAGATTTCGCACACTGTGATTGGTCAATCCATTACAAACTCTTGGAGACGTACTGTTGTGAAATGCCTGTATTGCATGGATCACAGACATATAAACCCATAGATGGACAGCTCCTATTCAAAAGAAAGGCGGGGTTCCATAGCTGAGATGGCATTCCACTAATTCCAAAAGCGTACTTAAATTCACCCCTTGGTAAAGTCGGTATGGGGAATTTACATAAAGTTGATGAATTCCAGCCTTAAAAATTTTATGAAGCCATTTTTTGATTGTGAAAAAAATCCTCTGTTTACTTAATCTGGCCCATGCATATGCAAAACAACCCGGTTTCAACATTTGAAAAGAAGAGTCAGCAATAGGCCTACCACAAAGTAAAAAGGGAACATATTTTGAGAGCACGTGTAAATAAATACAACATGCATTTCTAGTGCGTCACACGTAATTCGCACTGAATGCACTGCCATCCATCATTTCGCCCACTGCTTGCTCAAGATTTTCAAAATCACGGTTGTATGTGCAATAGTGGGGGTCTATGCATTTACATGTCCGTGGTATGGACTCAGATCCAATCACATCTTTAAACACATAGACAGATAACTCATATTCCAAACAACTGTAAATGTGTGATATTTACTGTATTGTTTTGTTTTGTGGAAAATAAACAAGATTGATTGATTGTATATGTCTGTGGATATCGAAGCAAAGAAATGGTGCCCTCATGGCAGTCAAAACAATCAATCATGACATTTTTCATGTTTTTATTTACCTTAAATCGGTGTCTTCAATCACAAATTTCACGTTGTCTTCTTTCAGTTCACTGATTGTAATGGATGGCTGATTAGCGTATGGCATTTTGAAAGTCGTTTACAAATGCTACAGTACAAATTACGTATCGTTTTCGGTGAAAATTATGACATTTCTCATCACAATACACTGTAGTTAAGGTTCCCGTAGTTAAACACTATACACGTTTAATTCTTTCCGCAGCGTTGTTCTGTTTAACAGGTCTCTGTTTACGTCTCTCGTTACAATTGCAGTGCGAAGAGACAGGGTTTCAGTATATCCTCGTTCACATTATATAATATCATATGGAATTTTCTTGTTTTTCTCCTAATTATCGAGATCATACGTTTTTCGTACTTACATCAAAACGATTAAAATTGAATTTTATTGTATAAAATTCAATGTATTTTAATATTTTACGTAATAAAATAGTTTTTTTTAATCAAAGAGTGCCTAGCTAGCTCCGGTGGAGAACTAGAAGCCAGTTGGGGTCACATCGATATTTTCATTAGCGAATACTCTCGGAATAGCGGCCTACCCGATGAACGCGAGAACTTCGAGAAACATTCTTGAAAGTTGTATTGAAATATGAGTTCGTTCTCGGACAGCACTTTGACCGAAAAGCTTGCTGCCTTGACCAACTCGCAGCAAAGCATTCAAACAATGTCACTGTGGCTGATTCATCACAGAAAACATGCCAGAAAAATTGTAAAGACTTGGTACATTGAACTGAAGCGAGGTACGGTTGACCCACGGTCTGACGGTCATGTATGTTTGAAAAAATTGTATTAGTCGTGTTTTGGCATGCTCATTATCATGATTTTGTTGGCTAACGCTTTTCTTTTTCCACATGGAAGAAATTTGTTGGCGTATTATTGTTTAGAATGCACTTTATGTTTACGTTTTAATTCCATAGTTGGGTGAGAGTTCCATCATGTCCATAGGCATGATAGGGACATCACTTATTTTCCCTTGCAATGATTTATTGATCATTACTGTAGCCATGAGAAGATGATATCATCTGTTTGTTGTTCGTTTTTGACAAGACCCATACAGATTACGAATGATCATGCACAAACAGCTGAATTAACTCAATCAAAATAAAAGGAACTACATATAAATCCAGAGCATTGTCGAGGATAGCACAAAGTAGCTGGAAATAGTTTATTATTGTGGTCCTCTACAAGAAGTTAAAAAGCAGATATGACATATAAATAAGTCAACAAAAACACTATTTAAAACTCATGAACAATAAAATGATTAAAGCACTCTTAAAGCAATGTACATCAGAACTAACATTACATTTATTCTGAATTAAAAAGTTACAATTCTCATTGCACGTGAAATTTTGATACAATCAAAATGAACATGGTCTAAAAGCTTATTTTGAGCATGGAAGATATTGAAATATGTTTACTCAGACGTCAGAACATAGGTTTGTATACAGGGTGTCAAATCATGTCTTGATATGGAATTTTTTCCACCCAAATTTTAAACTATAAGTTAACAGTTTAAAAGTATACACAGAATCCTAGTTTATACTCATATCTTGTCTTATATTGTTGATATATGAAGCAGTCTGTGGTTGATTTTTTTCTCGTAACACAGACTGCCGCAATATTAGCAGGGAGGGTGTTTCTGTCTGCTACGAAATCAACCACTGAAAAGAGGATTAAAAATTTTTCACTGACAAAAATATCAGTTGATTGTGCAGGTGTTTGCATTTAAAGGAAATGGAGGTGGGCCTTTCTGTTTGATTGCCAGTAGCTTTCACATTCCAAAATTGCCAACAGGGTTTTAGTTTATCAACAACCAAGGCACTTTTAACTTATGAATTTGTACAGCATAGCACAAATTTAATTTATACAGGATGGATCGAAGATTTTTTACATAAATGTGGACTTTTAGGGATAAAAAAAAAGAAAGAAAAAGATAATGTTGCTTCAACTTCTTTGATAACATGCTACAGATAGTACAACATATTGCATGTCAATTATTTTCCCTAACAATGAAATCTGCAGGTGCTACTGTAATGTTAATTTTGTATTTTCATGGTGTTCCTAGCTAAGGCCAAGCGAAAACTGGTCTTCATATATCTTGCCAATGATGTGGTTCAAAACGGCAAGAAGAAAGGAACAGAATTCACCAAAGAATTTGGCACAGTAATTGACCATGCCTTCAGCCATGTCTTGGAGTAAGTACAAAACTAGATATACCTTTTTGCTACAATCCCTTGAAAGCTTCAAGAATTCTGCCAAATGCAACCTTGTACAATGAAACAAGGTACATTCTTTGTCTCTATAAGAAAACATTAATTCTCAAGTAAAGTAATTCTTGCTGGGCTGAACGCTCCTGAATCAGAAGTAAGTATCCTACCGGTTTCAAATGCTGGTGTTTTTATAGCATGTATGGTTTAATAATCTAAGCTCATTGCTTTGTACCATTTATCCTGTGTGCTTGGCTTGTATTCCTTTACCTAATTCAATTACATGGGAATGGTAAACAGCAACATTGCTCTGCCTTAGGCATTCTAAACCAAAATACCAATCAAGCCCTACCTTTTCAAGTTCTCAATAAATCGGTAATGTGTGAAGACAGCTTAAGAGATCCTGTCCTTGAAATATTAAAGCATTCTACTAAAGCATATTCAGAGGTTGATTGTTTGTAGATGTGCATATTTTAATTTCATTTCAAATTTTTTCCTCACTAGGACAGCAGAGGATGAAAAGACAAGGAAAGCATTGGCCAGAGTACTAAGTGTCTGGGCAGAGAGAAATGTCTTCAATTCCCAGCTTTTGTACAAGATGACTACCCTTTTGTCAGGTGCCCATTTACCCTCATATACTCTTACCCTGAATTAAAAAACACCAGAGTTTTTCCTCTTTTTGGCCCATAGTTTCAGCATATGCCCTTCAGAACCCTTCTGTATTTCTTTCCCAATTGTTCCCAGACTTTTTGCCCAATAGAATTACAGCAAACTTGAATGAAATGTTTGGATTGGAATTGCCAGGTGAATTACAACCGCCTTCCAAGAAAGCACGGCACAGTGAACCACAACAGCATCATCATCATCACCATAGACAACATAGCCGACCTGCCCAAGCCTCACCAGCTCCCCCTGACTCAGATAGCCAAAACGAGAACTCGGCCAAGAAGGAGAAATTTGAAGGGTCATTTGGGGAGAAGTTTGAGGCATTACATGGGCTACTTGGACAGGATGAAGATGGAGAAGAAGGAGAAGAAGAGGAACAAGTTGATGCTGAAGATGTGCCTGAGGTAGGGGCATCTTACTTTGGATGAGATTTTTCTTAATTCAAATGTTCCAAATGATAACAACATCCACCCTAAGAAGGTTTATTAAATAATTATTTAACAATAACATTGGCTTTGAGGGATGTATGACCTACGGAAGTTGCTCTAGTTGCCTCGTAATTGTTTGCTCCTTTGTCACTTTGTAGCCTGATGAGATTATCCAAGCCTTGAATGACATGGATAACTCAGCCTCCAGTGATGCTGTGGTCAGGGAGAAGATCGCTAAGCTTCCCCCTGAGGTTCAAGATGTCAGTTTGTTGGATAAGATTCAAGGTTGGTATCCATTAGCATTATTGTAAAGTCCATCTGACGTTATTACAAGTCAATAAAAAGTCGGAATACTCTTAGGTCAGTTTATACTATTTTTAATGAAACATGAAAAAAAGCTTTCTTCTGTCATCATTCATCCCTTGTTGCGTGTGAGGGGACTTCTGAATTGGATTCATGGCTGGACTTGAGAAGGACACAACTCAAAAGTCTCGACTTCAACGCTGGCATCCATGTTCTTTCTACTCGAATTAGTAACTAACTGCCCATATCAGTATCTCGTATCAGAAGAAACTTAGTCTTATCCCACAATTAAGTCTTTTTGTTTGGATTCAAGCCAAAACAAAACCATTCTTTTGTTTTTTTCTAGGAAGGGAAGAAGCAGACAGACTGTCAACTTTGGTCAACGATGCTTGTTCACTTCTGGATGACTATAACGTGAGATTATCATTAGAGTTGGAAGACAGGCAGCATGTGATGAAAATGCTGAAGAATTATCGAATCTCACAGCATCAGAAACTCAAAGAAGCCGAGGATAAACTCAAGGTAGTTTGTTGGACAGCACCATCTTTTGACTTAATAACAAGTCAAAGTTCTCACAAGTGATCTGGAGTTAACTTGCAGATTGCTAGTATCAGTGAAAAAGTTCTTGTTCCAGCCTCTTGTGTTAGCCTTTTGAAGCATTTTGAAATGCATAGTGTGTTGGGAATTTAATAGATTTAGTAGTGTTATGGATTTTTTTTATATGCCTCTGATACAGAAGTAAAAACTTGAAGCAACTTTGAAGACACATTCTTTCTCCATTATTTATGTGAAGCAAAAACAGAAACTTGTTTTCCATCATTTTTGGTCCCTTTTAACTTGCAGGAATTCCTATCCAAACATGACAAAGTTACGTCGGTGCGTAAGGAACTAGCATCTCACATACAGAACCTACCTGATCTGACATTACTACCTGATGTCACCGGTGGTCTGGCACCTCTTCCCTCTGCTGGCGACCTCTTCTCTGTATAACTCTTGAGTCAGGACACTAAACCACATATGACACTTTCTTTATGACGTTTTTTTAAAACCTTCGTTTGTACATCCTCGCCTCCAATTCAAGGTAGAATTTTATGAGCTATGAAATTGAAATTGAATTAAAAAATTCACACCAACAACAACACACACATTGTTTCACATACGTAGTGTGGGCATTCCTCTGTTCTCCTGTGGTTAAGAAAACTCAGCAAAATTTTCCTTTTTCTCCCTCTATGATGACATTTTCGAGCCTTTTTTTTATGATGATTTGCTAGACCGTTCCTCTTCACTTTGCCACAAATAACAGTTGCCTCAAGCTATTTTTCAGAGATTTAGAAACAATGTGTGGACGTGTGCGAGTCCTCACAACACATCACACCCCACATTACGTGGACTTCTTTTGTGCAGAGGTCCACACTGTGTAGACTCCACCTGCACATTGGTACATGGTTATCAAGTATTGTAGATAAGACAAGAGGATGCTGTCTGGTCTGGTTATAGCAAAACAGGTCTACACAGTACAATTTGTGTCAATCTTTTTGCAATCCATCACAGTAATGCTGAATTCTCAATTTGACTGCAAGTTTGTCGCTTTGCCAGTTTGTAAAAAATCAGACAAGAAATTATGAAATTGTAAGATATTTAAATTACCCAGTGCTGTTGAAACGTTTTGATGACACTTTCTTATTTACCACAATGAGCTTAGAAATAAACTGTCTTTGGCTGGAATTATGTTCTCTATTTCCTTGATGCTGCTTTTGTATTTTTTCACCCATTTCATATTTGTTTTCTTTGTCGTTTTTGTTTTGTTATTAATAAAAATCATATCAGTGACAGTACGAGAAATGTTCTAATTGTTTGACAGACTGGCGAGATGGATTTGGACCTTTGCTTTTTCCTGTTCTGATTGTTGAAGTTTCTGCCCTCCCTTAGATTACTTTGTCCATGCCCAAATGTGACCTCCCTGAGCATACGTACACCTACACCGATCCTACCTCTATCATATGCATTTGATCAGTTGATATGACAGTTTCATGGTCGCTTATTGTCCTCGAGTCTTTCTTTTTCCGCATCCGGTATTCGATTCGCATACCTGGGTAACCTTTAATGAATAACGCTAGCGCCGACCAGCTTTTGTGAGAAAGGTCAATTCCTGTACGACTGTTTCATGTATGGGTAAAAGCAATGCAGTAAATGGTCAAAAGTTGCACCGACACCATTCGCGAACAGGGACTGCAGGGTGCGGTGTATATGCAAGCTGGGGTAAATCTGCCGTTTCTTCCACTTATTCACCGAGGAGAGATGGCAGCGACTTTCCTAACGGACGATGCTGCCTGGCAGGCCTTACAGAAATACTATGATGAAAATGGGAAGAAGCTGAACATTCTGGAAATGTTCAAGTCGGACCCGGATCGATTCAAGAAATTCAGCTTATCGTATGTAATTAATTGTGTATTGTGCGTTTGCCTGGTTGTACTTTTTACCAGGCCGAGGGCCTGTTTTGCTGTGTCACTGACTGGCTTGCTCTGATAATGACGAATTAAGTGAAGTACTATGCTGTTGCCAGTGCAAATTGTTAATTAACATTACTCTTTTTTATTCCATCGTTGTCATTTCGGCCAAATGAGTTTGAGGATGTTGGAGTTGGACAGTTAGTTTCGTGATCAAAAACATTCCTCACATCTCCATGGCAATTCTACTGCATTAAGTTGGAAACATAAACGATGGCCAGTTTTTTAAAATGCTGATAGAATATTGTTAATGTCAGTGTATGTTGGACATGATTAATCAATCTCCAATCACTCGTTGTGTTGTTGGTCTTGTGACACATTTTGTCTACAATTCTGCCATCTAACAAAACATGTTTTCTTGCTATTTCATGGTGAAACTTTTTTTTTGACAAGGTGGAAGTAAAGTGTAATTTCCTACCTCATTCTACATTCATGAACTGACTGCACAGCATGATGTGTAGATTGAAAGTTTGCTCTCGGTAACATTATTGTTCTAGTTTCACCAGTTGAACCTGTTATCAATAGAAGAAGGGGGAACTTAAGAGTTCCATGCTTGACATGGAACGGCGAACAACGAACTGCACAGTTCTGGGGCGGGGATCACGGACATCACTTGACCCCATCTGCCCAAATTCCATGAGATTGGCCTAAACTTCAAACTGTTTTCTAAGTTAATGCATCAATATTTTCACTGCTAAATGTGACTTTTTAGGATGTCACTTTCTGATTTTTAGTAAAACACTGCAAGGGAAAATTATAGCAATGTCTGTATATGGAACTTTTACCGAGGAAGGACACTTAGTCTTTGCAGTTAATTGTACAATACAATTCACCTTGACACGTGACAATGACAGCATTCATACAAAATGACTTCCAAGTTAAATCAAGAAATGGTTTGTAGGTGTAGTCAAGGAAGGATGCATGAACTGTACGTGAAGAATTTTTAAATGAACCGTAGCTTAATAACATGCTGCGGCTGTTAAAGAAAGGATAAAAGAAATTAGTTTCCATCATGTACATTAGATCCAGACACACTAAGCTGAGTACATGTAAAGTCTAACAAACCAGGAAACAAACTGTTCTGGAATGTGCGGATATTCTATGATTGTCGGCGTACCTTGGATCTATACCAGTGGTACCACTGACATGTACGTGTAAACAAGGAAATGAACTAGGGATGGTGTGTGTTTGCTTCTAAAGGATCCATAAAAAAGAGCTACGTATGATCACAGCAAGGGGTAGGTTGGTGTCCTACGGGTTAATTTGAACACAGGACTTGCTTTGAACATGTAATATTGGCCATGCTACCAAATGTGCAGACACTTGGCAGCATGCCATCATTCTTTTAGAATTTGGATTATGAGAGCCTAAACTCCCAAGAGGGTGGTAATGTCTGTGTGGAACTGAAACTAACAAATTGTACTGTAATGTACCTGAGGGGTGGTAAATCACTCGAATTATTAATGAGTTTATTGTTTGATCATTTGAAGGAAAATTGTCAATGTGGAAATTCCAGCAAGGAAGTATCTTTGTGATTGCTTATATCTTGTTTTCTCTTATCCCGGATCTTTCAGGAGATCCTTGACTTGTTAATGACTTAATATTCGGTTCAGTGTTCAACAAAATATTTTGAGTTTAACTATTTACTTTACATTATTCAGCAGTGCTATCAAACTAAGTGGTAAAAAGTAACTAAGGAACATGATGGCTCACTGCTCACTTGCGAGGATCAAGGAGGGTAGTCTAACTTCTGCAAGCAAGAAGATGGCTATGGAGCCTGATCCTTGAAGAGCAGACTTTTCCACACTTAGGACAAGGAAACCCTTGAGCTGAGGATGTCTTAGAGGCAGGCTGCTTTTTTCATCTGCTCCTTTTGCTGACAGCCATTGCTCATCTGGAGGCTTCAAATCTTTGATTGCGTACTAAGATACCTGTAGTGTGATGCCAACCTACATGTACTCTATCAAGAGGAACATGGCTCTAAGATCAAGTGCCATGCCTTTGAAATACATAGATGTAATACTAAACAGTTTTCTTCACTTACATTATTAATTGTAAATTTAGTTTACCAGGATGATTAAAATAAAAAACTTACTTAACCAAATTTGTTTCTTCCAGTGTTCCTCTTGGTGATAGTAATGGCGATATTTTGCTGGATTTCTCCAAAAATCTCATCAATGAAGATGTCTTCAAGTTGCTCATTGATCTGGTAATCATTCAGTAAATTTCTTTGAATTTTAGGAATGTACCTGAACGTTTAAGACGCAGTAATTCAAGATTATATCACAGTAAATGTGAATAAATGTAACTTGCTCAATTTTTCCTAGGCTAAATCTCGCAATCTGGAGGCTGCTCGGGAACGCATGTTTACCGGAGAGAAGATCAACATCACAGAGGATCGTGCCGTACTTCATGTTGCCTTGCGCAATCGCTCTAACAGACCCATCTTGGTGGATGGACAAGATGTCATGCCAGAGGTCAACAAGGTCCTTGCACAGATGAAGACCTTCACAGAGGTATGGTAGGTGAGACAGAGGGTCATTGGTGAAATATATGGACAATGTAGCTGAAGAGTTAACAGTAGTCAATTGTATGGTTCCAAGAACCAGTCTCACATGTACATGTATTTGGTATGGGATTTGGTTGGTAACCTGTTCTTACTAAGAATGTATTTTCTATGCTTAGTGATTTTTAAGCTTAGCATCTTGTTAAGTTCATGAAACAATATAAAGTTTGGCCAGTACCAGTATATATATCTAAGCAGTTTCCTGATTAGCTGATGTAGCAGTGGAAATCTGTATCATACATGTAGATTATGATTATGTCTGTTTTTCAGGCTGTACGCAGTGGTGAATGGAAGGGCTACACGGGCAAAGCTATCACTGATGTGGTCAACATTGGTATTGGTGGATCAGATTTAGTGAGTGGATTTTGAAGCATTTTTCAAAGACAGTGTATGTTCCTAAAGAAACATCTGGCATGGAAAGATATGTCTGGTATAACATTGACTGGTATGTATGCCAATCATACCCTTTACTTTTCTACTCTTTTGATTTTCAACTGTGCTAGATGCAAGAGTAGGAGGGTAAATCAGCATTTTTTATTTGAGGACTTTGTTTTGAGAATCTCAAATTGTTATACAATCAAAGGAAATTCAGAAACAATGTTGCCTGTTTTTTTATCCATGTTATAGGGCCCTGTCATGGTAACTGAGGCTCTCAAGCCCTATGGAGGGAATCTGAATGTTCATTTTGTGTCCAACATCGATGGCACTCACTTGGCCATGACACTGAAGAAACTTAACCCAGAAACATCTCTCTTCATCATTGCTTCCAAGGTAGGATTGCTTGTCTGTCTTGATCTCTCATCGCATCTTGCTGCCACTTTGTCATTCTGCTCCCAGGGAGAAAAAGTTCACATAGTTATATTCTTGAGTGGCCAGAGCTATTTTCTTGGTAACTGTGATTTTTGGCACCAGATTAAATCTTCGTGTGAAGCATTCATAAAAATTAAAAGGTGCAATTTGGAATTGAG